TCGAGCAAGGGAAAACTACTCAAAGAATTAACTACAGAAGGCCATTACTTTCCCCAGCCTGCATTTAATGTTGATTGGGGCACTTCATTCCATGCACTTCTAGCATAGCTGATGGCATCTGAAATGTTAAATTTATTCCAGAGGCTTGGTACTGCCAAGTTGGAGTCAGCCCAATGATGCAACTAGTTTTTTCATAACTTTTTTGTGTAGTTACACTTGAATGACTTTATAACTCCTCGATCCAGTGGTTGAATTAGGGGTGTTGTATCTGAAGGTAAAAATACATCTTTTATATGTGGGGTCACATCCAGCAAAGCCTGTGGATGAGTATGGGAATTATCAAGAATGAAGAAAGTCTTGAATGCAAGGTTTCTGCTGCACAGGTAAAACTTGACTTCAGGAATAAAGTGATACTTAAACCAGTCAATATATATTTCCTCTGTCATCCATGCTGACTGGTTTGATCTCCAAATTACTGGTAAGGTGTTTTAATTTACACCTTTCAAAGCATGAGGATTCTTAGAACAGTAAATAATCATGGGCTTACACCTGAAATCACCTGATGCATTAGCACAAAGGGGTAAGGTGAAGCGATCCTTTGCTGCTGTGGCGGAGGGTGGTGGGGGATGGCGACAACACTCAAATTTTTTTCCCCTCCCACAGACTGAACTGTGTTAAGTTAATTTTAAGAAGTGTTGTATAAAACTGCTTCGCAATTTTTCAACTGTGCTATAACCAAAACTTGCCAAATAAACTCGTGTTAAATGACGGTCTAGTGTTTTTTTTTTTTTAACAAATAAGTCATTTAAATTGAGGCTTACAAAGGGAGCAAGACATCAGAGATAAAGTACAGAATCTATTATACATCATGTATTACACTATGCTTTTTGAGTTCTTGAATCTGTTCTTCTGAATACTTTAGAATATTTGAAAGCACATATCGTGTATGTTGCCCAAGAAGAGGCGGGGCCATCCTGATTTTATTCTGAGAGGTGCTAAATGATACTGCTGGTGCTACCTGCTTAATTTTCCCTGCAGTTGGATGATCAACTGTTTGTACCATCTTATCATGGATTACTTGTGGATCGGAAAAGGCCTGGGACAGCGAATTGATCGGCGCATAGGGCAAGGAATAACCTTCAAGAATGGACAGCCATTCCTGAGTAGATTTTTGCTGAAAAACATTTTTAAGTGCAACAATAAGTGTTTCTCGATTTTTAACTCTAAGAGCATTTGTAGAGTAGCGTTCATCTAGTAAAAGATTTTCAAGACCAATAACTTGGCACAATGTTGTAAACTGATCATTACTCAGAGCACCAACTATAAGACAACCATCATTTGTTGGAAAAGCTTGATATGGCACTATACTCTCATGAGCAGTTCCCCACTTCTTTGCCTCTTTTCCTCCATTCAAAAAGTTTGATGCTAAATTCACCATACATGATATTTGAGTAGCCAGTAAACTGCAATCAATTTTTTGTCCACATCCTGTTTTTTGTCTGTCAAGTAATGCTGCCATTACTGCACCATGTGCATACAACCCAGTTGCTAAATCAGTCATGGCAACTCCAACCTTACATGGTTCTCCTTCCTCTGGGCCAGTAGACCAAAGGAGGCCAGCAATAGAGGCTGCCATGACATCATAACCAGGTCTGTTTTGGTATGGACCGGAGGAACCATACCCAGAAATAGTACAATATACCAAATGAGGTGCAACCTCCTTTAGGTTATCATACCCTAGTCCTAAACGGTCAAGAGCCCCAGGTATAAAGTTTTCAATTAAAACATCACTGCACTTGGCTAGATCCTGCAAAAGAGATGCTCCCTTTGGGTGTTTGAGGTCAACAGCAATACTTTTCTTATTGCGGTTCACACTAAGGAAGTAACAGCTCTCTGATCCCAAAAAAGGTGGACCCCAACTCCGAGTTTCATCTCCTTTATTGGGACGCTCCACCTAAGAAAGCAAAGATCAACAAACATACAAAGACATTAATAGAGCATAACAAAAATTGAAATCAATAAGCAAGTAATAAAAAATAAATATAAATTTATTTTTGAAAAAACAGTGATCTATTACTACAGAAATTACTGAAGATGTGGTATACTGCATTAGGAGCAGGAGACCCATGGCTCATTGAGGCCTTCTAGTTAAGGGCAAGACTATTTCCACACAGTTACCTATTTAATTCTTAGCCAAACCCAACAGTGCATACCCTGAACGACCGAGTGATATTCACATCACCTACAATACATAATTTCTATTTTTATTTTCCAAATTTACGGTTGGGCTGTGCAAACAAAGAGTTCTCCATACACCACAGTTTGTATGTAATTATGTTACCCATCTAAATCACACTGCCTTTTCTCAGTGCCTTCAATCTCTGCTTATACCATACAGGCACTCATCACTTAACCCTTCGACTGTTTCAGTTGTATATACAGTGGACCCCCGCATAGCGAACTTAATCCGTGCAAGAGGGCTGGTCGTTATGCGAAATGTTCGCTATGCGAATTAATTTTCCCCATAAGAAATAATGGAAATAAAATTAATCCGTGCAAGACACCCAAAAGTATGAAAAAAAAATTTTTTTACCACAAAAAAATGTTAATTTTAGTACACACAAACTGAAAAAGGCATGCAAAAATTACAGCCTTATTTTATTGAAAAACTGGATGTTTGGGGGATGGGGGAGGGGAGAGAGGTTTTTGTGTTAAAAGGGGAACCCCTTTCCTTTAGGACTTGAGGTAGCAACCTTTTTTGGGGTTTTTTCCCCCCTTCTTTTTTTAATCCCCAACTAGGACCAGCTTCGGGGTCACGGGGGTTTTCTTGGGCAAAAAATATTTCCATATGGCAGTCCCCCGCCTTTTTTTTGTCTAAAGTGGTTCACAACGTGTCATTGAACAGTACCGCCGGTTTGAAAAGCTGTGTGAGGGTGATTTTCATAAAAAAGGTTTGCACTTCAACCTTTTTGTAACTTTTCCTTTAATCTTTAAAGTGGAAATTCCCTTTTAAATTTCTCTCTCCCCTCCTTTAAACCCATTTTCCCCGGGTCGGGCTCTTGCTCTTAATTTGACTACAGCTCATCAGGGGGTTAGTTCTTCATTGTCCTCCTCCCCCCAACCTTTTTCCACCCTCCCCACAACCTCCAACCCCAAGGACCCCCAATTCCCAATTGATTTCCTCAATGGTATACTACTCCTCTCAGGGTTAGCCTAAAACCCCCTTCAAAACCTTTTTGTCTACCATTTGGCCACATTTTTTTCCAACAGGTTAAAGGGTTCCTTGTCACTCCCTCCCAACCTTACCTAAAAGGGTTTCCAATTGGGGATTTAAAGTGATCCTTCCAAAAATTTTTAGATAAATCGAGTGCCCTTTGGTCACTTCAAAGCACTTTTGAAACAGAGTTTTTGTGTACATTTTCTTGAATTTGGAAATGCCCTGCGGGTCCGGGGCTGCAGGAGAGGAGGGGTATTAGGGGGAAAAAAACTTCACCTTAATAAAGCCATGCCCCCCATAATCGCTCTGCCACGTTGTAGATACCGGGGGCATTGTAAAAACCCCGGGAGGCACTTAAGGTCTAATTTTTTTTTCTTGGGAAATCTTTCACATTGGGGGCAAAATGCATTTGTGTAACCAGTTAAGAAAAATTCCTTGACCCATGCCTTCTTTTGCCCTCCACAGCACACCAAATTTTTTCCTTGAGGACATTCTTTTGCCGAACGCTCTGGGAGTTTCAGAGTATACACTAATAAAGGTTAACTTTGCAATCACCACTAGCATTTGGGACACACAACAAAATAAGCCGTCTTTCATAGGCTTTTGTCCTGGAGGCCTTTTCCCCTGAGTAAAGTAGGTCCCGCTTGCATTTTCTTTCCCGAACGGGGTTTTTTATCACAATTAAAAAACTTGTTCAGGTTCCAGTCCTTCAGTTTTTTGTCCCTGAATTCTGCACATATTTTTTAGCCCCCTTTGTGGGGCCGAAGGCAGCCTCACCCTGCCCTATCACACTATGGTGCCACTACGCTTTTAATCTCTCAAACCCAACCCCTTTCTGGCTTAAATTCACCACATCATACTAGTTGCAGGCATTTTTTTTAAATTTAAAATTTCATGCAACTTTCCCAGCCTTTCCATATGATCGCTTGAGAGCCTATTCCCCGCTACTGTTTTTTTATTTTCCACACCAATAAGAGTCTCTCAACATCTTCCCACACTTGCGATCTTTTTTTCGAAAACACAGTTAAACCTTTGGGAACAAAAGTTTCCCTTTATTGCCGTTTTCTTGCCCACAAAAGAAGCGTTGGTTGATTTTGGTTTCTTGTACAACCTGACCAGGCGGGTGATACGTACTCCACTTTCATATTTAAATCAATGATCTCTTTCTTCATTTCAATGGGTATTCTTACCCTTTGAGGTGTAGGGTGGCACTAGAAGCTTTCTTGGGGCCCATGGTCACTTATTTTCCACAAACAGCACCGAAAACACTGTAATAATACGAAATATTCCGAGTGTATGCTTGAATGTTACCGCGGAGGCTGGCTGGTAAACAATGGGACGGGCGGCACATGTGAGGCTGGCTGAGGGCGCAGATTGGACGCGTCTCGGACGAAGTTCGCTGAGCGGGTTTTTGTCCACTATGCGGGGTTTCGTTCGCTATGCGGATTGTTCGCTATGCAAGGCGTTCGCTATGCGGGGGTCCACTGTATACACCTACCATCCGACTTACGACCGAGTTCGGTTCCGAGAAACCGGTGGTAAGTCGAAATGGTCATAAGTTGAACTTTACTACTGAATATCAACAAAACATTTTTGTAATGACTTTATTTTATTGCTTTATTTTGGTATTTCATGTTTTACTTTACTTTTTATGTTGTTAGTACTGTATTTTATACTGTAAGGTTTAGGATAAATACTGTGTACAACACAAATAGTTGTTTATTTCCCAGACATTTGGCATAAAAAACACAGTTGTAAGTCGAGTGGTCGTAAGTCGAGCAGGTCATAAGTTGGATGGTAGGTGTACGTCTTACGAGCCAATGTGTTTGACGTATATACAGTGGACCCTCCCCGAGTTTTGTGATTAATCCATTCCAGAGAGCCTGCCGAATGGTGAAATTCATGAATGGCGAATCCATTTTCCCCATAAGAAATAACGGAAATCCAATTAATCCATTTCAGACACTCAAAAGTATTAATAAAAAATATATTTTTAAAGATTAAATATAGATTTACATACAGAAAACAATGACAAATAAATATAAATCACTAATAAAATGGATAAATGAACATTTAACATCCCACTTACCTTTATTGACTCTTGTTGGTGTATGGAAGACAGGTAGGAGGCAAAAGGGAGGCGAGTTTATGGTTCAATATGACACTAATATCATCCGTACGGCTTATTTATCTATCACAATTCATCTAATATGACATAATAAACAATATTAACCCTTTCAGGGTTGGTGCCATACCAGTATGGCTAAGGCGCCAGGGTTGGTGCCGTACTAGTATGCATAAATTCTAGCGTCCTCAAATCAAGCAGGAAAAGGCTGGTAGTCCTGTATGTGAGAGAATGGGTCTCCATCTTCAGTGTGTGCGGTATAAAAAAAATCGGGGACCCAGTGGTGCATTGTAGGAAAGCCATTCTATTACACCTTGTTCACCATGTCTAGTGGTAAGAAACTCCTCACTCCTCGGCTAACTGGGGCTCTTCTGTTCCCAAGTGACAGTTCAAACACAGATGAAAGTGTCAGTGAAGGTAAATTTTATGGTTTTGAAGAGTTTGTATGAACAACACACTTCTCATACCAACAATAACTAAACAAACCAGGCTCACTGAGGCAAGTGCAACCATAATAGACCACATATGGACCAATATACTAGCCCCCCTTAAATCAGGGATAATCACAGATAGCACTACAGACCACTACCCTACCTTCCTGACAAACATTAGTAAACCACCACTTGAATTCAACAAAGTCTCTTTTAGACTCCATGACGAGGCCTCAATAAGGAAGTTCACAGCTGACCTAGAGACTGTTGACTGGCCTACAGAATTCTCCAAGGCCAATGGTATTGATGACTGGACAGACATTTTTCTTAACAAATTACTTAGACTATACAACAAACATTGTCCTATAAAAACGAAACAGATCACAAACAAATGGCTTGGTTGCCCAGGGTTAACCAGCACCATTCTGAAATCCATTGACAAGAAACACCAATATGAAAAGCAATATAGACAGGGCTTAATACACAAAGATATTCTTAAACACTATTCATCAGTTCTCACCAAAGTAATAAAGAAAGCCAAACAACTATACTACTCCAGTAGATTCACAGACACTAGAGGAGATATAAAAAAGACCTGAAAAACACTCTCTCAGATTCTAGGGACCCACAAACTGAAAAAAAACAAGAATATTGTCCTAACTAAACCTAATGAAACACCACTACATCCCACTGACACAGCTAACAAGATAAACGGACTTCTTCTCAACCATAGGATCTAATCTCCCCAAATAAAATCCCACATACTAATGCCCATGCCGGGGACTACCTAGATGGGAATTTCCCAAATTCCTTCTATCTTGCACCAACTGAGCCCACGGAAGTCACCGAGATCATAAAGTCACTTAAAAATAACTCGGGGAATCTGTCTCATGTTCCACCATTACTGTACAAGCGAGCGGCCCATGTCCTTTCGCATGCTATTTCCATTACTTTTTAACAAGTCACTAGAAACTAGCACCTTCCCGAAACTACTCAAGATGGCAAGGGTTACACCAATGCATAAAGGTGGTGACCCTACAGACTTAAACAACTATAGGCCAATATCAAACTTACCATTGCTATCCAAAATCTTTGAGAAACTCGTGCACAGGAGACTATATTCATTTATAATGGCACAAAACATACTCAACCCCTGCCAATTTGGATTCAGGAAAAATAAA